TGGACAGCTCCTTTGGCAAGTTTGTCTCTAATAAGATCTCAGACTTTTTGGCTTACAATGATAATGGCACTGTCTCGGATTCCACACTTTGGGAATCTTTCAAAGCTGTGATAAGAGGTGATATTATATCATACCAATCCAATCTTAAGAGAGTCAGACGTAATCGTCTGGCGGAAATTGAGAAACAAATAACCACACTGGAAGACACACTCCATCGCTCCAATTCAGACCACATAATTACCTCGATTGTGAATCTAAAGTATGAATATAACTGTATTTTGGGTGAGCGGGTCATGGATGATATTCAGAGGCTGCGTCAGAGGTATTTCGAACTGGGAGACAAAGCAGATCAAATACTATCCAGGCAGTTGAAGGGAATGCAGGCCGAGCGAGCCATTAATAAGATACTCTCTCCATCAGGCCAGCTTCTGACAGATCATAAGCTAATAAACAAAACTTTCTTTCAGTACTACAATAAACTTTATGCCTCCAATACAACTGCATCTACAGAGGATATCGCACGCTTTATTCAACCATTGGACATTCCGACTCTTACAAATGCCGCAAGGCTGGAACTAGATGGTGATGTTACTCTGGAGGAGATAAGGGCAGCAATCCGCTCTTTTCCTAGTGGAAAGGCATGCGGTCCTGACGGCTTTGGTATCGAGTTTTACAAGACTCATATTGACGTGGTGGCGCCACTCATACTGCGTATGGTCAGGTCTTCCGTGGAGGTTGGGCATTTTCCTGAGTCTCTATATGATGCTAGTATTTGTCTTTTACTTAAAAAGGACAGAGACCCTACTAATGTGGCTTCATATCGCCCCTTGAGCCTGCTTAACTCTGATCAGAAAAATTATTGCTAAGGTCTTAGCTAACCGACTGTCCTCCCACATCAGTGCTCTGGTACATCCAGATCAATCTGGATTCATTCCAGAAAGATTCTCTTTCTCCAACACAAGACGACTACTTAACATTATGTATTCTCACGCTCTTACCAACTCAGCAGTCATATCTTTGGATGCTCAGCAAGCTTTCGACCAGGTGGAGTGGGGATACATGTTCGCTGTTCTCAGAAGATTTGGCTTTGGCACAGGTTTTCTGTCTCTGATAGAAATGCTTTATGCTCATCCCAGGTCTCGGGTGTTGACCAATAGAGACAGATCACCTGCCTTTCTACTGAAACGTGGCACTAGGCAGGGCTGCTGCTTGTCTCCCATGCTATTTGCGTTTGGCTTTGGAACCCTTGGGCTGCCATCAGGTCTAATCAACTTATCACGGGTATCACATGTGGTACACTAGAGCACGTCATAGGCTTATATGCGGATGATGTAGTCTTGACATTGCTTGATGCTAGAGCCTCTCTTCCACCGCTTCTCGAAGTGCTGCAGAGCTTTGGGCAGCTCTCTGGTTTCACAATCAACTGGAATAAGTCTGTCTTTGTGCCTCTGTCTAACGGACTTGACTCTGGTTTTCTGAATAGTTTACCATTAAAAATCGCCCATGACCACTTTATGTATCTCGGTATCAAAATTCCCGTAAACTCCAAGTTACTATTCCAATTAAATTATTTAGAGTTACTCTCTAAGCTAAGAAAATGGATTGACAACTGGCGGTTACTCCCACTCTCATTAATTGGTCGTATTAATATTATCAAAATGGTTGTACTTCCTAAGTTTATTTATCTCTTCCAAAATATTCCAATTTTTATTCCTTCTTCCTTTTTTAATACATTGGACTCAATGATTATGCCATTCATTTGGGCATACAAACCTTCCCGAATCTCTAAAGCGCATTTGCAGAAATCTAGATGGGAGGGTGGCTTTGGCCTTCCGATTTTTCGGCACTACTACTGGGCCTGCAATGCCAGAGCTTGGACATTCTGGACGTCATCCTCTGCCGAGGCGGGGACTCCTTCCGTCTCCCTCCCTGGCTGGCCTCAGATTGAATCTCATAACTTGTTACTACAAACTTCTGCTTCATTGCCTGCAATATTATTCTCTAAACCAGATATCCCCCTCAAGAGGCTCACGTCTGACTTCATACTTTGGAACTCAGTTAAAATTTTGACACAAATAAAGAGAGTCTTGAAACTCCCAGACTTGTCTATTTATGCCCCTTTGTGTCATAACCCCTGCTTTAAACCGGGCCTCTTGGATCCTGCCTTCAAACTCTGGTCAGGCAGGGGCCTCTCCTCTCTCAAGGATCTTTTTATCAACAAAAAGATTGCATCATACCCTCAGCTACAGTCTAAATTCAATTTGTCCCCAAATAATTTTTTTCGCTATTTGCAAGCTAGGAGTTTTGCAAACCAACTTGCTTTAAGCACAAATCAGCATTCAGCGCAACATGTTTTTTATGATCTTCTTATTAAAGCCCCCACCTCCAGACATCTAATCTCACTGTTTGTGAATGTTTTCTCTAAGCCGGAGTCGTCCATTCATATCAGAGATGCCTGGTCCAAAGATTTGGGAGTTACAATTCCCACTGCGCTCTGGGACCGTGTGCTGTTGGGGATAAAAAACTGCTCTATTAATGCCAAATTGCAACTAATCCAGTTTAAAGTGGTGCATCGTCTGCACTACTCTAAAGCGAGATTGAATAAAATATTCCCAAGTCATTCAAGTACTTGTGACAGATGTGGACACCCTAAGGCTACTCTTGGACATCAATTTTGGCACTGCCATTATTTAACAACCTTTTGGTCTGACATATTCTGTCTCTACCAAACTGCGTACAAACAACAGATTCCTTTGGACTGTCTTGTTGCTCTGTTTGGGGTATCTGACTCCTGCTCTGCTCTGCCCTTGTCTACTCGAGAGGCTCTCGCTTTTGGGATGGTTGGCTAAACGTGTCATTCTTACAGAGTGGAAGTCTGCCTCACCTCCCTCCTTTAAATGTTGGCTTAATAGCATGGCTTCTTGTTTACACCTTGAAAAAATACGCTACACTCTCAATAATAATGTACCCAGATATGCTGGGACATGGGGGCCATTCCTTGAACATTTGAGTAATACCACTGGACACGGTTAGTGGCAGGCTAACGTCTGCTCTGTGACAGTGGGTGGGCCTCCCGGTTGGTGCACAAGTGACTTAATGCACCCTGATGCATTCATTTCCAGCAGTCTGCGAAGGAGCTGAATATTTTATTTAGTTCTTACTTGTTTTATTTGTTCATATTAACCCTTCTTTTTTTATTTATTTATTTATTTTATTTTTTTTTTTCTTTTCCGTTTCCCCCTTCTATCTATTTGTTGTTCTAACTTCTATCCTTAATAACCTGGGGTGGGTTGGGTTGGGGTATCACTGTTTGTGTTGTCTATTTTCTGGATACATAAAGGACAGTCGTGATCTGGAATCTATTTGTAACTGCGATCTGTTTTGGACTCACTTACTGATGATGACAATATAGAAGATCCCAATTCCAGCGTCAACCTACGCCAACTGGTCATCACGGTCTGATCGACGATCCGGATTTCATTGTATTTTGATAACTGTCCTGCAGTTTTGTTCATTTGTTGATAACAATAAATATATTACAAAAAAAAAATTGCAACAGCCCACTCTAATAAACTTAAATATTACCTTGCACCTGACTCACGTAATTAGATGCAATGGCAGCCGCTCAGAAACGGCTCTGCAGGGAATGAAATCAGCAGCGCCAGTGGCATGCTGAGCTCAGATTCTGAAATAAAACATAAAACAAAGTTGAGAAGTTTGGAGTCTGGTGTTTGTGTCTCGCTATGCAGCGCCTCGGAAAAATATTAATCTTCCTCCAACTTTTAACATTTCTGTCATAAAACTTGTGAAAACCTTAATTTTGGGCTCTTTCCTGAATTAATTTTAGGTATTATTCAGAGTTATTCGGGCTGAAGCAAATTATCTGTTATTGTTCAGATCTGTCCGGCGCGTAAATATGTTTTGATTAAAACCATCTGCTTCTAACTTTAGCTGTTTATTTTTTCCTAGCTGTTTATTGTTCTTCTGGAAGGTGAAACTCCTTTCCATTCTTGGGTTTTTTAAATCTTTCAAATGCATTCTGGGTAAATGCAACCAAAGCAAATGTGCTAAGCTAGTGTTAGCGGAAAACATAACTTATCTTTTGCTAAAGCCAAAGGAAAACATTCTGCCAAAATCTCAGAAATTTTTAGGTTCATCTCAGAAATTTTCCAGAAAAAACTTGGAAATTTCTAAGTTTGAAGACTCAAAAGTTTGCTGGAAGAAACTGATATTTGAAGAGAAATCTCAGAAATATTCCAGAAAAAAACTTATACATTTTTCAATTTTGAAACCCATAAATTTCTGAGTTTTTTGTAGAATATTTCCGAAGTTTATCTAAAAATTTCTGAGATTTTTCTGACAAATATTTGATTTTTAAAAACCAGAAATTTTTTTTCAGCAAGTTGCAACTTTTCAAACTCAGAAATGTTTCTGCTTTTCAATAAAAGTTACGAGTCCTCATAATTTCTGAGATTTTTTTAGTACATTTTTAACTTTTAAAATTGAGAAATTTTATTTGTCTTACAAAAATTTCAGAGGTTTTTTTTTTTGGTGGAACTTTACTCCTTTTTTCTGTCTGGAATGGCCCTAATTCACCATCGTACTTTCCAGAATAATAAAAGAGAAAAGATAGCAGCAAAAAAATAATAATTTTAGAAAATCAACAGACTATTTTAAAGCAGACCACAATCCTTGCTGCAAAACGGATTATTTTTTATTAAATTTATTTCATAATGATTGAGATTTTGTGTCGAGCAGCACCTTTGGATCCCCTCGGCGGATGGGCAGAAAGGTGTTACATCTCAGAACAACCCAGCTGGTCCTGTTTAAATTTCATGTGTGTGTTTTTTTTTTTGTAATATTATTACGGCACCTGCTTGACTCCTCTTCATCAGAACAGATGTTATGAAGACGCGTGAACCTCCTTGAGAAACGTTGGAAGAAGTTTTGAAGACGACTGAGCCGAGCCGTTTGTGCGTTCTCTGTTTTCTGCCCTGCAGGTGTTCGCCGAGTCACTGCGAACACGGAGGAAGATGCTCTCAGTCCTGGACAAACTTCCACTGCAACTGCTCCAACAGCGGCTACCGAGGAGCCACCTGCCACAGCTGTGAGAGAAACGGCGAGACATGCAGATTAAAATTAAGATTCAGATTTATGTGTGTGCCAGATTAACGCTACAGCAAGAATAAAAACTAAAAGCCAAAGTTAAAAAGTAAAAACAATAAAACATGCCAAAAAAAAATACAAGTATAAATCAATACATGATATAAAGAGTACAGCGGTGAATGTCATTGTCGACCGACAGATTAACGCGGGATTACTAATCTGTGTGTAGCTGAAATACTTTATTCTGTAAAAAAGGAAATCAGTCTTATGCTAATACTGAGATTCTTTTGCATTCATATAAAATAAATATTCAAATATATTTTAAATGAAGGGGCGGAAATCAGAAATTCTGAGATTGAAATCGGAAATTTCCTAGAAAAACCTTGTGAATTTCTGAGTTTTAAAAATTTAAATTTTTCTCAAAGAAACTCCAAAATGGTGAGAATAATCTCAAAAGCCTTGGAGACCACAAAAAAACTTTGAAGCTTTTCATTATTAAAACGGAAATTTCCAAGTTTTTTCTAGAAAAATTATTAAATTAATCTCAGTTTTTCTCTCGCAAATTTTTGACTTGTTCTTGTTTTTTCTAGAAAATTTCTGAGATGTCAAAATTTCAGTTTCTTCTTTCAAACTCAAAAATTTCCAAATGTCTACATTTTTCTATAGTTCAATCAAAAATTCTCTAGAAATAAACTTCGATATTTCTGAGTTTTGAAGACCAAAATGAGATTATTCTCTGAATTCCCGAGTTTCTCTCAACAATCCTTTCCTTCAAAAGTTGAAAACTTTCCAGAAAAAACTCAGAAATTTTTCAAAAATTTTCACATTTTTTCAAAAATCTCAGAAAATTTCTAGAAAATCCTTGGAAACAGCTGAGCTTGAAAAATCTGCCATTCGCTAGAAAATACCCAAAAATGTTTAGATTAATTTCTGAAATTTTGTAGAAAAAAAACTGCATGTTTCTTTTTTTTTTACTTATTTTATTTATAACTTGGATTATTTTATTATGTTTTTTGTGTTTTTTTTAATATATAAATTTTTTACATGAAAAATTATGGAATTAACATTTAAGATAGTCATATTTTACCTATTTTCTGCTTTATTCAAACCTTGTTTAAAAATAAATACTTTAAGGTGTATCTTATTTTCAAACCTAAACTTAAAATTTTCACTTATGTAAAAAACTGTTATTATCCCACCCATGTTTTTATTGGGATTACTTTAATTAGACAGTCTGTCCCTCAACAGTCAATTTTCCTGTGCATTTCTTCTCAGTCCATTATTTAAAAACTTTTTAAAGATTTCTTCTACCGTAAATAATTAGTATAAATCAATTTATTGAGTTTTTCCTCTGCTGTACTCTACAGAACAGTTAAATAATTTAGTTTGAAGTATATGTTTTATTTACAAATGCATTTGTAAACCAACTCGTGTTTACCGGTAGTGAAGCATTACCTGCAGGTCTTTGGAGACGTTCAGATAAGTTTGCTCTAAATTTCATACTTTGCTCCTTAGCAAAAATAGCATCATCCCTGGTGATACATAATGCAGGAATGAAATGTCACCTTTCCACTGGGGGATAGCGGAGGAGAGAACAAAGGGACTGCATCCTGCTGGAGATGAAAGCCACAATTTTCTCCCACTTCTGTCTTCAAAGCGCTCCGAAAAGCACCGTGTCAATTCCCAGCTCCTAAATGCTGCTTCTTTTTTCATCATGCCTAATATTTTTAAGTACCAAAGTCTTTCAAGTGCTAAAAATATCTTTAAATACTTTTGTTTCCCACTGAAAGAACAAAACCGATGATATTTATTTAATATTTTTATCTGCAGGATTGTAGTTTTGATGGTGTTGAAGTCAGAGATGGATCAGTGGGGCAAATGATATCTGTTTCTCTGCAAAGCAGAGAAACAGACAAAAGATGTGAAGAAAAGAGCAGAAATATTATTTATTGTCCATTTTTTAGAGAAATTCAGATGTAACAGCAGCAAAGTGACCAGGCAGGGTTACACAAAATTACAAATAAAACCCAAAACACGCAATAAGACACTGTAAATGTAAAGATAAAATTACAACATGAGAAAAAAATATTGGGTGGAAATTTTTTTAAATTTAAATTATTACTAAAAAAAATTCACTAAATATAGGCACAGAAAGGGCGTGTACTGATTTTTCAGGAAGTTCCAGGAGTAAAAATTCACATTTAGAGTCAGATAGGAAGCTATATTTATTTGGGAAAAAATACTTTTAGGCTTTTTCCCAAAAATACTTTGGTATGTTTTACACAAAAACGTACCAAAGTATTTTGGTTTAGTTTCTAAATTTCTTAGTACACCTTAATTAAGTCAAAACTAACTCACAAATAACTTTTCAGCTTGTTTTAAATAAATTATTTTCTTTATATTGAGAAAAAATGACTCATTCATTGGAAACTAATTTCACTTATAATCCAGTGAAATAATCTGCCAGGGGAACTGAAACTATTTCATCTATATTAAAAATTAAACTGAAAACAACCTTTTATATCTTGCCAAATTCTACCTCTAAGTCAGTTTTATCTTATAAAAGATATTGAGATATTTGCACTAGAAACTAGACCAAAAATACTGAGATTTTGTGTTTTTGCAGCGTAAATTTCAGTAACTTCAGTGGATGAAGAACAAACTTGTTTTAACCAAGATTTAAACGTGGAGTTTTTGTTAAAGTTTTATGAGTTTTATACCGAAAGAAAGTGATATGAAGAAATGTTACTTCTCCAAATTGTAAATAGTTGTAATAAAATTCATTATTTTTCAAATTTTGACTTTAATCTCCGAATTTTGAGAGGAAAAACAAAGTCGGAATTTGGGGAAGAAAGTAACAATTCTGAGAAAAAAATTATAATTCTTAGAAAAAGTAATAATTCTGAAAAAGTAAACGTTCTTTGGGGGAAAAAAGCCAAAATTTGGAGAAAAGTCAAAATTGTGGGGGGGAAAAAAGGGTCAGAATATTAAGAAAAGTAAGAATTATTTTTTTCAGCGTCCTTATCCCTTTCCGTAACGTTATGTTTTCTCCTTAGCAAAATACGAACAGTCGTGTGAGATCTACAAACACAAAGGCGACACTTCGGGTCTGTTTTACATCGACGTGGACGGCAGCGGACCAATCAGACCGCAGCTCGTTTACTGCAACATGACGGGTAAAAAAAACACAATTAAAAATGTAGATTTCTTTCATTTCACACAGAAGTTTAATAAACTGTGTTATTGTTGTTTCGTGTCCTCCAGAGGACCAGACGTGGATTATAATCCAGCATAATAACACAGAGCTGACTCCAGTCCAGGCCTCCGCTGACACGAACCAACACTTCGCCAGCTTCCTGTATCCGTCTGAGGAGAAGCAGCTTTCCGCCGTCATCAGCCAATCGGAGCACTGCGAGCAGGAGCTTTCCTATCACTGCAGGAAGTCCCGCCTCTCCAACAGCCTGGGTAAGATCTGGAAAAGTTAAAAAAAAGATGTCTGGAGGCAACGTCTTTGCAAAGTAAGCTTTTCTAAATCTGAAACCAGGACAGAGTGAACTGCTGAGTTCGTCCGTTACGTTACTATTTAAAACATTAATTAAATTTCACTTCCTTATTATCTGTGCCGCTTTACAGCGCCTAATTGGTTTGGAAATCATCAAATTTTATTCTTTTATTTAACTAGGATTTAAATACACAGCTGAAGGCTGTTGGGAGGAATTAAAGAGTACAGAGTCTGATTAACTTCTTCTGCTCTCAAAATGTTTCTTATCGGCTTGATGGGGAGAAAACGGCTCTTATTTCCTGTCCGGGTTCATCTGCACTGCAAAAACACAAAATCCTGCACAATGTGGTTAGACCAGTTTATAATGCAGATACCTACGGAAGAATATTAGGGCCTCTATACATGGAACAAAAATTAACAAAGGAGTAAATTTTCACCAAAACCTCCATTTCAGAGCATTTTTTAAAAGTATTTTTTTACTATTTTGTCAAACTAAGATTTTTTTTTCTAGGAAGTTTCTCAGATTAATCTTAAAATTTTAGTTTTTTTCTAGCAAATTTTCAGTTTTCAAGTTTAGAAATTTTAAAGAAAATTTTTTGAGTATTTTGGCAAAAGTTACTCCTTTTTTCTTTTAGTTTTTAGTCAACGTCTTAGCACACTGAAAAAAAGATAAAATTTTACAAGTAATATTTTAACAAGACATGGGTGCTTGAATTAAGTCTTCATTTTGTATATTAATTAAACTGGCAGATATTTTCACTTAAAACACGGTAAAGAGTCTTTTTATAAGTAAAACCTAGAATTTTTTAACGATATTCAAAATTTATTGACTTAAAACAAGTGCCTGTATCTTTCTGAAAAGACACCTGTAAGTTAATTCTGTCTTATTTCATACGTACTTAGATAATTACACTGTGAATACTTTTTGGTTTTGAAGTGCAGGCTATCCAATAATCTTAAAGACTTGAATGTGTTGGCAGACGAGACAAGCAGAAGCTGCTTTGGGTCATTATTTTATGTAACATGGAGAGATTAATTTGCTAAATTTGTTAATTAGGGGAGAATTAAAAAACATGAATTAATGAAAATTTTACGTTGGAGATGTTTTGCATAAACTGTCACTGATTGACTCTTTTCACACAGCAGTGGGGCTACATTGATGCCAAAAAAATGTCCTTGTAAATATCTTTGTTTCTTTTTATTTGTTAAAAAGCATGGCCTCAGTGTGTGTGTGTGTGTGTGTGCGTGTGTGTGTGTGTGTGTGGTGTGTGTGTGTGTGTGTGTGTGTGTGTGTGTGTGTGTGGGTGGGTGGGTGTGTGTGTGTGGGTGTGTGTGTGTGTGTGGGTGTGTGTGTGCGTGTGTGTGTGTGTGTGTGTGACTTAAGTCATTTCTTGCTAACAGATGTATTCTGAGCTCATTTGCTTTAATTTCCAATTCTGTGAATTTAAAAACAGAATCCGTTAGGGGAATAAAGGTGCATCATTTCTACCTTCCAAAAAAATGTATGTAAAAAGTTTATTAGTTTTCTATGTTTAAGAGTCTACAATGTTTTATGACAGTCAAGAAGTTGAAACAATGCATTTTAGTCACTACAAAAGCGCAGTTTCATTCTTACTTCATACAGGGGAGCTATATGGAGTTACATTGGGGCCATAAAGTTTGTTCAAAAGAAAAAAATTAAGTTAGAAAGAAAAAAATTTAAGCTGTAAAATCATTTTTTAACTGAAAAAATAAGTTTTCACAATTTATTTTTCAGTTTCAAACATTGTACTTTTGCCTCTTCTTATCAAAAATGTACCTTTTCTTTATTAAAAACTAAAAAAGGAAATTGTTAATTAAATTTTTAAATAATGTTTCACAATTTTTCAAATTAATATCTTTTATCTGTATTTAAAAATGTTAAACTATTAAATAAATGTAAATTATTCCTTTACTGTCCTGCATGTTTTTGTTTTAGACGGGACTCCTTTCAGCTGGTGGGTCGGCGGCCCGGCTTCGGGTCAGATCCAGAACTTTTGGGGCGGAGCTTTGCCCGGCAGCCGGCAGTGCGCATGTGGTCTGCAGAACAGCTGCCTCGACTCGAGCTTCTACTGCAACTGTGATGCTGACTATGACCTGTGGTACGCCAAATTATTTTGCAGCTGCGTTTCTATTGATCATGACATTTTGAAATTAAATTCACTTCATAGAAATATGCCAGTTTAAAAAAAAATCAGAATTTTTTTGGTGATCAAAATTGGTTTATTTTTGCAGAACTGCAATGAAAATACTTTTTTGCATCACATGATCAAAAATCATCATCCCTCAGCTACTTCCTGTTGTCTTGTTTGTGGTTTCCTCTAGTAGTAACAGCCAGTTGTTGATCATGTGACTCGTGGTGTAAAAAAAAAAAGTGTTTCCATTGATGAAATAAACCAATTTTGACACAACTGAAAAAAAAAACTTTTATCAAAAACATTTTTGAAGGTTATTTTGTTTCTATTAAGACTAATTTATTTTCAAAATGTCAAATTTTTTGACATTATAATCTAAATGTTATGAATTTAGATATTGCATTTATGTTTATATTTTGTTCTCTATAGTTTGTGTTTTATATTATCAGTTTCTTGTTTTAAATTATAGGGGGAAAAAGAGAAGAATAAACATCCTTTGTGCCCTTCAAAATAAAAGCATAAATATAAATGTCTACTTGAACAGAAGAAATATTAATCAAAACTTACTCAACTTAAAGTTTACAAAACAGCCAAATAATTAATTTTAACCGGTATAAATGTATGTAGCATTAGTGTGCTAACGTTAGCTAAATCGCTAAACAGAAGAAATAGCTCCATTATTAGCGCCTCAGCAGATTAGTGGACGTTTGCCCACTACTGGACGTAACATTCAGTAACTTCATTGTTTATTCTTAATGTTCTGCCAAACAGAAACAGTTTTGATAATAAAATTGCTTCCTGAATGTTTTAAACTCATGAATTTCTGATTTGAGGAATCTTCTATTCCAGGAACAATAATCTCATCCCAGATTATCTCCTGTTGTTGAATTCTGCTTCACTTTGTTGCTGCCTGTATCTTATCAGATCAAATCCCACATTATTTCATTCTTGTGTTGTGCAGCAACAAAGCAGTTGGCTTGGATGTGCAAATGAATCACTAAGCTAACACTGTCCAGCATAGGACGCTGTGTCAGCAGAATCTTTTTTTTTTTGTCAGCAGATCCTCAACTAACCCTGTGAGAACAAATGACTAGTCGAAGCAGAGTGTTTGCTTTCCAGACATAATTTCTTCCACTCTTTTATCTTGGCTTTACTTTCTGTGGGCAAACTTTTACCTTTTCTCATTACACTGCAAAAACACAAAGCGTGCTACCAAATATATTTGTTTTAATTTCCAGTGCAGATTTTGAAATAAGCCAAAACTAATTCACAAGTAACTTTTCAGGAAGATGTACAAGTTTGTTTTAAGTGGATAAGTTTTTATTATTTATTAAAGACATTCTAGTTCCATTAGCAAATTATTTAACTTAAAACAAGACATTTTTCCCTGTTATAAGTGAAATAATCTCGCAATGGAACCAGTACTTTTTATCAATATTAAGAATTTATTGGTATGAAATCTGCTACTAAGTTAGTTTTGTCTTATTTCAACTGTACGAAGATATTTTGCACCAAAAACACTTAGTAAACGTTTGTGTTTTGCAGTGTACCACTTTTTCTTCAACATTAAGCAATTAGTTACTCCTATATTTTGCTGAAAATTTACTTGTTGGTTAATTTTATCTTGTTTCAAGTGTGCTGAGATATTTTCACTCAAAATTAGACAAACACTACTTGGTAAGATTTCCTGTTTTTGCAGTGTAGAGACTTTTTAATATTGCACAGACACAGCAGTGGTTTTCTTATTTCAATAATTATAGTGGTTAACTGTACAAAACAGAGCAGGAAAACAGCAAACTCTTAAATACTGAGGACTTTTTTGTTGAGTTGGCCTAACTGGTTAAAGTTTTCTTTCTTCAACTTGTACTTGGTGTACTTACTTTCCTCCTCTGCAGTTCAGTAGTAAAATAATCTGACAGTGAAACTAGTCCTTTTGAAATCAGTATCAAACAGTTATTTACTTAAAACAAGCTCCTATGTGTTGCTGAAAAGTTACTTGTAAGTTTTGCCTTAATTCAAGTGTACTCAGATATAAAATTAGACTGAAATGACTTGCTAAGACTTTCTGTTTTTGCAGTGTACTGAGTTCTCGTCTTCCTTCTCAGGACTGAGGACTCTGACCTTCTCAGCGATAAGGAGAGCCTCCCGGTCCGGTCGCTGGTGCTGGGAGACGTTCACCGTTCGGGTTCAGAGGCTGCCTACAGGGTGGGGGCGCTCCGTTGCCATGGAGACAGTAAGTCCAGGGGCGTGACCTCAGAGCCGGGGGGCGCGGGCAGAGGCGGGACCCAAACATTATGCTCAATAACTTCATTTGTTTAACTCAAGTAAAAGTGTTTGTCTGCCTTTTCTCTCTTTTAATTTATTTCTTTGTGCTTGGATTTTTATCTTTCTCCTCAGTTTTATTTCTTTTTTCTTCTTTCCCTCTTTTTTACTTGCTTTTTCATTTTTTCTTCTTTCTTTTTTCCATGTTCCATTTTTCCCTTTTGTCTCTCTTGTTTTTCATTCTTTTCTCTTTCTTATATTCCTATTTCATTTTTTTGTTCTCTTTTCAGGCTTTGTTCTCTTTTTCTTTTCTTTTTTCCTCTTTCTATATCCATACTTCTTTTAATCTTCTTTCTTTCTCATTTTCTTCTTTTGTTTTCACTTTTTTCTGTTCTTTTGCTTCTCATTTGTTATTTATATCCTGTCTTCCTCCTCTCTCTTCTTCTTTTCTTTTAAAAATAAAGTTAATCTGATCAGTTTTGCACCTGGTTCTCCATCTTTCCATTTAACTTGTTGTGAAATTTCACTGCAGCAAATTAAACTTGCTAATTAGCAGACTGCCTGCTAAAATATGGCCACCTTATGCTACGTAATAACTACCAATAGAAAATGTTAAATAAATTAAACCAGGTGATATATTTTATGAATGCTTATAATTTCTCCATTAAGTTTAATGAGTTAGTAAATAAATGCCTAAAGATAAATCAACATAAATGGGATAGCATAGCTGCTGTTGTGCCTTTTTTCCTCACCTAATTAGCCAAACAGTTGGTTCATTTGTTTACTACATGGTTTCCATTACACAGCCCTCATAATGAGTTTTCTCTTTAATGAACTTCATTCCAATGTGATATATGCGACACGGATGTAAAAAAAGGAAAGTTTTGCCTCAGTTTTTCTAGCTGGAAACAGAAAACTGTTTGTTTCTTGCAGAAAACTTCTGGAATGCTGCGTTTTTTGACAAGGAGACGTCGTACCTTCACTTCCCCACCTTTCATGGAGAGCTGAACGCAGACATCTCATATCTGTTTAAGACAACTTCTTCCTCTGGGCTTTTCCTTGAAAACCTCGGTATCAAGGACTTCATTCGAATAGAGCTCAGCTGTAAGTGACATCTCAATGTTTTTGCTGTCTTGTTCTGCACAAGGGTTTGTGTTGTTTTCCATCTGACTGCAGTCTGCCGCTCTGATAGTTATTCTGGAGCTCGACTCTTGAGAGGATTCACAATCAGATGTTTTAATATTGAACTGCAGAGGAGGAAAGGTCTTCTCTGCCTGCTTACTTTCGTCTGGGTTAAAGTTTAACACACAAGTTGAAGAAAAAAAAACTTGAGCCATCCGGGTTGACTCAACAAAATTACCTCAGTTACATAAGAGTTTGCTGTTTTCTTGCTTTCTGCTGCTTTTTTTCAAGAGTTAACAATGAAAATTTATAAAGTAATGCAGACAGTGCTGTGTCAGTGCAATATTCACTATTCAAAAGGCTCTGCACTGCAAAAACACAAAACCTTACCAAGTATTTTTGGTTTAGTTTGTATTTCAAATATCTTAGTACATTTGAAATAAGACAAAACCGATTCTTTAGTGAGATATATGAGCTTCTTGCCAGTTGAACTAGGATTTTTCATAAATAAAAACAAATTGTTGATGTAAAACTGTGGAGCTAAATTGAGGCCATAAACTTTGGTTAGAAGAAAAAAAACAATGAGAATTTATTTTGAAATGTAAAAAAAAGAACTGAAACTGAAAAAAGATTTGAAATGGGGAAAAAAAATGTGAAAACTACTTTTCCGATTCAAGATTTTTTCTTTTGGCCCCAATTCAGTTCCCTATAATACTAACACCTGTTTCTTGCTGAAAAGTCACTTGTAAATTAGTTTTGTCTTATTTCAAGTGTACTGTGATATTTGCACTAGAAACTTTGTAAGGTTTTGCATTTTTGCACAACTTTAAAAAAAAAAAAATTCACGTAAAACAAGACATTTTTCACTGTTATGAATAAAATGATCTGCCAGAGGGGAAAATTATTGACATAAACTATGAAACTAAATAAAAATCATAAGTTCTGTTTGAAATAAAAGATAAATGAAACTGAAAAATGAAGTTCAAAACTGAAAAAAATTGTCAAACCTGCTTTTCAGATTCAAGTGGGTTTTTTCAGTTTCTGTGTTTGTTTTCCTTTGACCAAATTTTATGGCTCCAATTTACCTCCATACAAGTTTCTATATTTTGCTGAGTAAGTTAGTTGTGTCTTAGAGTGTTAAAAACTAGACCAAAAATATTTGGTGATGTTTTCTAGTTTTTGCAGTGTAGATGCAGCACTCTTGGTACTGTATTGAAAAACACATTGAAAAACAATCATACATTTCTGATGTCTTGTGATTTGAATATTGTGGACTCTAAAATGCCACAACTTGGCGTTCACAAATACAGAACATCCTCCTAAACTAACAAAAAAAAATATTAATCGTGTTTTAAACTTTTTATTGGAGCATTTGGGGAAAGGAACCAGCTGATGATGTCATGCCTGAGGCCTCCGTGTCACGTTTCAATTGATTTAGCTGAAACCGAAGATCCCTAATTGCAAAAGATAAAACTGAAGAGCTCTGACTCCGGGGGATAGTTAGCTTTTTGCTGACAAAGCGTCCTATAAATGCAGAAACTCCCTCCTATGAAGCGTTTAGCTGCACACGTCCCCTGTTCAATAAACCGTTCGATATTTAAAGTGTGCATAGCAGATTTTGCTGCATTTGTGGTTTTGTCTTTCCTTTTCTTGCTGTTTTGTTCCACATTCTTGACTCTTTTTGGGTTTTTTGTTGGCCTCAGGATAAACTCATGGTGGAGTTTTTCTGCGGAGCTCGTAGATGATGTATTGAATCGTAAAAGACGCAGGAGTCCCCTCAGTCGGGGACCTTTCTGTAATTTCATACCAATACCAGCAAAAAACTCTTTTCTGCTCCTCACAGTCAGATATATGAAATATATTACTTACCGACTCAATAATTATCAGAAATTTGTAAAAAAAAAAAAAAAAACTATGTTATGATATTCATATGAATATATGGAGCTACAGAACCAACAAATAAATTGTATTACATCATTTTTCTGCATTATGAATAATAAAATAGATATTATATTACATATGATACATATATGTGTATTATAGACCTATATATGTATTATATAGCTATATATAATACAGATATGTAATATAATAGGTATTACGTTACATATAAAATGTATTAAATATAATATGTAACACATGTAACATGTAATATACATGTAATCCCTTCCACGATTACATGTATATTACATATGTAATACATGTATATATTATATTATTTACAAAATTTTTTTTTTTCTTGGGAAATAAATCATTATTTATAATTATTTTACAAAACAAAACCACCTGATTTTGATATGTGCCAAAACAAAATGAGTCTTTCACTCCATACTGGATGCATTACGTTGTATATAAACTCCCTGTGTTGATCTTAAATCTTGGAAATTCACTCCTTTTGCTCCTCATGTGAGGAAAAGTGCAGCTGACTTGCAGAAATAGACAGATTGAGTCGAACGCTGCTGCTGCTCTGTAAAGAAGCCTCATTGTTAACTCAGAGCATGCAGGTTTTCGTTGTTATCGTGACAGCTGGAGTTAAGATGTCTCTGAATTATTATTACTCACAACATGACTGGAGCCAGACAGCTGTTTCCAAATTAAGTTATGATTCCTTGAGAGTGCTTGCTTCTGCGGGTTTTCATTTTTATCTCAGTCCTATAGCAGCCTATACTTTCTCAACTACAACAAGAGAGAGGCCGTTTTTCACGCTCTGCTTTTGTTTCCCCGAGTGATGGGGAGTATAAAATGGGTCTGTGGTCTATACAAAACATGTTCATTACAGTTTTCTCCACAAAATTATTCTTGCATATTGAGGTTTTAGTTTCATCAATTATGCTCATTTTAAGTTCCTTCCGAATTAAATGTTTTAGAGAGTCTGTCACTCAATTGCATCTGAAAATGGCTGCAAACAGATGTGCAGTTATACAACCTTACATTTGTGAAAAGCAGAAGTGGAGCTTTTATCATGTCAACGTTTTTCTCATAAATATTATTTATAATAGTTTGACTATGTTCTGTTTATTCACTTAATATTATGAATTTATTCTCATATTATTTTGACTTTATTATCATAATATAATTTTATTCTCATAAGACTGACTTTATTCTTGAAATATCTATTATTATTGTTTCTGTTTACTTCATTACAATTTAAGGAAAAAACATCCAGCTAATTTCTTACTCATCAAAAGGCACAATAATCATAAGCATAAATGTTTATTTTATGGTTTTGTTTCCTCTTCGTCAGCTTCCACAGAGGTCGTCTTCTCTTTTGATGTGGGGAACGGACCTCTGGAGGTCAAAGTGCGCTCCAACCTCCCGCTGAATGACAACCGGTGGCACAGCGTGAGAGCTGAGCGAAACGTGAAGGAGGCGTCGCTGCGCGTCGACGACCTGCCTGCTGCCATACGAGAAGCTCCAGCTGATGGATTCATTCATCTGCAGCTCAACAGCCAGCTGTTTATAGGTGAGAAGCACAACAGAACGAACCGTGAAGCTCACTTGAGGTGAAGACGAGCTTTCAGCAGAACTTTGCACTTTAATAAGGTGCACAGAAGTTTAAAGAGCTTCTCATCAAATCTGAACAGATCATATTTTAAGCAAACTTATAATTTTGAGATTGATTGTTATCTTTGAAGGTTTCAGCAAACTTTGAGCGTCTGAAAAGACAGTTTTATTATTTGTTATGTCCCCTTGAACAGGTTAAAATAGGTCTATGGGAAATACAAAACATATTTATTATATTTGTTTTGCACAAACTCATTCGAAAAGCAGAAGCAGATGGTCAATAACAACACACTTGTCTTTTCCAGCAGCCATTGTACACACAGCAATAAAACCAGCTGGAACTCTGCTTGGGTTGCTAGATAACGGGCAACTCCCCGCTGAGTTCTGATGTTACAATTTGAATGTTTTTGAAACAGCTAGTTTTCAAGATGCCACAAAACATTTTAACTTATTGCCAAAAAAAAAAATGTTTTTTTTTTTGTTTTTTTTTTAAGTGTTTGATCTGTTTTTAGAAGCAGTAGAAACCCAAATGGAAGAACATTGCTTCCATTTGGAAAACATTTGCAGGTTTTGTAGTCCTTACAAGTGTCACAGGTTTCATCTTGAACCTTTATTTTAATAAATGTTGGTGGTTTAATTTTCCCTTGAATCATCAACAAAGCGCTTTTAGGAAACTGTTGAGGTTTTCCTCAATGATTCAACAGAAGTAAGAAATCCATCCTTGGTTCCAGGGATTTATCTCGGCAAATATTCTGAACGTTTACACGCATGAATGTCGAATGAAATAAAAGCAACGCTGAATAATGATGAAGCTGGAAAGATGCAGAACCGACTGGCTGACAGGTTTAATCTCATAATCCTCTGACATCAGGAGAGACTCATCAGAATCCACTGGTCTGATCGCCGACTGCCGGCCCGTTGATGGGACGTTTGAATGGAAGTGAGTCTGTGGGGATTATGAGATCCACAGCTTTCTTTGTGCTGTCGACAAAGATCTTATTCAAGGTGGATTTGAGGAATCACAGTTCTATTCCTGTTGAATTGTTGTGAAAAGAAAACTCACAAAACAGTTAAAGTATTTCATGCTTTGATAAATGGCTTATTGCACTGGTGTAAAGATTACGGTGGGTGTTTGATGGGCAAGTTGTTTATCTTCCTTTAAATTGTGTCCCACTTGTAAAGAAAAATTTTTTGAGTTTAGCAGTATAGTTGAGTGGATCATCTGAGCCTGTCCCAAACAAGGACAGGCTGTTTGGAGGAAGCAACGCGGCAATGTCGGGTGGAATCTCACCAAAGCAGAGAAATACTGAGATGAGTTTCTGCAACCAGTGGAAATTACACAACTCTAAGAAACCAAACAGTTTCCTACAAGGCGTGAATGTTTGACTGCAAAGAGCGGGATTTATGCGGGAAAGGAATAGGGACACTAACAAAAAAGAACTTTTTATTTAATCTCAGGATTCTGGTTTTAATCTTCGGGGATCAAAATTCAGAATTCTGAGGAAAAAAAAGTTAGAGTGCAGAGAAAATAAGAAATTTTTTAAATTATTCTCAGAAATTTTGAGTTTCAAAAGTCAAACATTTTCCAGGTAAACAGGAGAAAGCTCAAACTTTAAGTGAAATATAAATCGATTGATTCCCAGCCTGGTTGTGTTTTTCTTCTTCATTTCCAACTATTTTGCTTTAAAAGTAGTTTTTTCCTAAAGTTTAGACTCCATATTGTCGTCGATGATAAACTGTCCTCCTGCTTCTCTATCTGTTCCAGTCAGAAGAGGCCCTTCAACCGGTTTCTAACAAAGTGTGGTAGGAAAGTAAAACAGCTTAAATGGCTGAAATTGTTGCTGTCATGCAGGATTTTGGGTCTGACTCACAGGATTTCTGTCTTCCAGGCAGATCCAGTCCTCTTCCCTCATTTAGTCGTCATTTACTTGCCTCCCTTAGGAAACGTCTTTTCTCCAACTGTTATTTCTTCCTAATTGTTACAGCAAAACCTGAAGCATGTGCTCTAGATTTAGATCTTCCAATGTTTATTTTTTAAAGTAATGGTGCTGAAAAATTTGAACTGAGCATATCGAGCTTTTTCAAATTCAAACCGGAAGCCAACTCCAGTCTGTGACGCACAGATTAGGGTGAGCAGGTTGGGCCTGGAGGAAAAATGTCATTTTGCCAAGTCTCTGCGTTTGGTTGCTTCGTTGAATGTTAATTGTCATGTGGAAGGCGAGTCAGGTTTCCTTTTGCTTGTCAGAGTATAGGCTTATTACCGCACAGCAGATGGCCGATGGCCCATCAGCCAAGTAGTTAATCAATAAAAAAGCCAAAAAATAACGCTACCCAGCGTGTGTTGTTGTTTTATGACGGTGTGGCATATCGTAGTACAGAAAAAGGCAATGATTTGTGAGCATATTAGCATGAAAGGAGGAGAACTAAGGGGGTCTATTATGCAAAAATTCCCATTTTGTAGATTTTTGTACTTTTATACGGGTCTTAATTGCTTCTAAAAACAAACCCGGCTATTTTCTGGGGAAAAGAAGTTCAGGATTTTTGATGTCTGGAAAATTAGCTGTTTTGAAAACCCCCATAATCCCTGTGAATCCCAGCCCGTTACCTAGCAACCCCTGAGCTTCCTCCTGTTACCTACCAACCCAAACTCAGTTCCAGCATATTTGGTCAGCTGGTTTTATCGTCATATGCACTGCGCAATGGCTGCTGGAAAAGACAAGGGTTTTGTCATTAAGTTTTGTCAAGGAACAACTTGCTGCCTTATAATTTATATTTATTTCACAGAAACAATAACATTTTATGACTAAAGCATGCTCATTTGGCAAACTATTTCATTGTGACAGTTTTATTAAAGGCAGTTTCAGGATGCTGCACTCACCTCTGAAGGTTGCCTTTATGGCTTTAGTCTTGTTATCTGATCTCAAAGAGAAACGTTTTCTTAGACATGGAACAGCAATATCATGAAGAATTTTACAAACTAAGCAAATGTTTGGATAAAATGTTAGATTTTCAAATCATAATCATTCTTTGTGCAGTAGGCTCTACTTCTGCTTTTCAAAGATCTATGTATGTATCATATCGCATCTGTTTGAAACATACACACCAAAATCTGCCTTTTTTTGTGCCAAAAAATGCATCACCATGTTTTGTAGCTCATTGACCTCTAATAACCTGTTCAATGCAGCAAGTTAATAACAGACTGAGTGAAAGTACAAATCAGGTTTTTGCTTTCTTCATTTAACAAGGAGCAAGAAAAAAAGAGCTATTGTGACTCCAACGCTGCTCTTTTTCTTCTTTGCAGGAGGCACCGCGTCACGGCAGAAAGGCTTTCTGGGCTGCATCCGCTCTCTTCAGCTGAACGGCGTCACACTGGACCTGGAGGAGAGGGCGAGGATCACACCTGGCGTCCGACCCGGCTGCCCCGGGCACTGCAGCAGCTACGCAGCGCTCTGCCAGAACCAGGGCCGATGTGTGGAAAGGGCCAGCGGGTTCTCCTGTGACTGCAGCCACTCTGCCTACACCGGAGCCTTCTGTCACGAAGGTACAGACACACTGACAACTCCACCAGGAAATTCAGAATAAAGAAACCCTGAAGGTTTTAAAAACTTTCTTTTTGAGAGTTGGGTTTTTCACACGTTTTTAGATTATATGCACTAGATATTCCTTTATGAAGATTGGCAGGATGTTAATTGATGGCAGCAAAAGACAGCAAGCCTTGGGGAAACATGATCTAATATCTTCAAGAAATTAAAAGAAAATCTCCACTGAGAGATCAAATTGGGTTTTTGGAGTTTCTAATCCCTACAGCTGCTTACACAATTTAATTCTCTTGGATATCTGAGATCATTTATAATTTCAGCATGTGGTTCAATGCAGGTTTGTAAGATTTAAAGAAGGGGAGCACATCTCCTACTGGCACAAATTATCACAAAGGGGAAGAAAAACTGAATTTGCAAAATGGGGACATTTGATTGTCTCATAGTTACAATAGAAACTTCAATAAAACGCAGTTAAGATTTCTAGGAAAATAAGACTCCAAAAAAATTTATATTTTACTTTTTTTTCTACTTCCATTTGCTTCTCAAGAGCTTCTTGAAACAGATCAAGCACTTAAAAAACAACATGCAGCCATTTTTTAGCAATAAATTTGGTGTCTGAAAAACGAGCCGTTTCAAAACCCTCCCACTGTACCGTTACCGAGCAACCCCGGCAGAGTTCCGCCTGTTACCGAGCAACCCCGGCAGAGTTCCGCCCGTTACCGAGCAACCCCGGCAGAGTTCCAGAATGTTTGGTCTGCTGGTTTTACCGCTCTATGCGCTCTACAATGACTGCTGGACAAGACAAGTATTTTCTTGTTGAATTCCCATCCAGAAACAACTTGCTGCATTCTTGTTGCTTGTGCAGAAGGCTCCATTTCTGCTTTTCAAAGTTGTGTGGCTGTACAATTGCGCATCCATTTTCACTTGCTAGTGTAAATGTTGAGTTGGGGCCTCGGCCAAGAGCAGCAGTTTATTTGGATTTAACGAGACAGGACTCCCTAAAACAGCTCATTATCTAAGGATGATTTTGTGCAAACATGTTTTGTATAGGCCATAGAACTCAGAGAAGCATATCCTGCATGTTTTTCTTTACTTTGTCACCTTCCATAAGATAAACTTGACACCTGAGAAGTTTCCTCCTCCTGTTGTCTTCATCTTTTGTTATTACATCGACTTGTTTTGATTTTCAGAAGCCACTTTGCTTCTCTCATATAGCTGGATATGAGTCTGTGTTTGAACAGCAACCGATGTTACTGCATTTTATTGCATTTTATCTTGACAGCTCAGTCCGCACATGTTATCCAGAGGCCCTCCAAAATAATATTTGTTGTTTGCCGGTTTCATATAGTGGTGACAGGCAGCGACATGAACCAGCTTCTCAGAGGAATTTGACAGCCACTTTATTCCACTGGAAACACACACAGCATTCAGATGGGTGTTGTTTTACTTCTTTCAAAGTTTTCATACATTAGATGATGAGCTGAGGCACTTCACATGTTTCTATTAACATATTAACAGATCTTATTAATGATAACTTTATTTTTAATCTTAAAATGTAATACAGAGAGCAGATTTAATCGGTGCAAGATTTAATCTTAACATACTGTTACAATGGCGACAGAAACACAGGCAGCTTGTGTTTATTGACTGTATTTCTTAGTGGTGCATGACCTTTAAAGGATTTCTACATCCCATAAATTCAGCAGCCTGCCTGCTGTGTGGTTAAAGTAGCACGGGACATAACATTTATTACTGTTATGAGTTTATTATGTCTGGAAATGTTACATTTCCAGTTCCAGTTCAAATCAATGGCATCTCCAGGCACCAGTTCCAGTCCAAATAATAAATTACTCAATAGTAGGAATGTTTTTGAAAAGCTCAATGTAATCAGAGATGTGAATCATACAGATCAGAGACCAAACCTTTCCCAAAAGAGATCACAACTGTCAAGCTAAAATAAGTTGTGGGTCACCAAATATCTATTTTGTTATGAAAAATGTAAATAAATAAATGAAATAAATTTTATTGTGAAAACAAATTAAGTTCACTATATTTTAATAAAATCTAATAACCTGATTTCTATATGGAAAGAATCTGAAATTTGTGTTTGTGGTTCTATTAAATGAAAATAAGAGCAAAATATGTGGTTAACTTGAGTAGTTTGTTGTTCCTACATTACTCTTTTTACATTATTCTTTTTCCTTTAATTATATTACCAGGAAGAGTTTGGTGAAATATATCTGAGCTTTTCTTAAATTGTGGACAAGGGCCGGACGGAATCATTGGAACGGCTCAAAATGGCCCCCAGGCCACAGTTTGGACATCCTGGCCGTAAATTAACTACACAAAGATTGTTAAAATCCTTTATTTCTGCTAAGAATGAAGATTCTTTCCTCACAGCTAATAAAAACACAACATTTACGATTGAAATATTACATCAGACTGATGAAAAATAATACATAAATCTTGACTTAATGAATATAATTATAAAATACTTTTAATTTAACAAATGTTATTTGTGCGATTCTAGCTGACCAAAGGTTGAGGAAGGCCAAAATGTTGACTTTGAAGCAATTGTCTTTCCTTGCAGCCATTTTGCAGCCATAAAACCAGCTGACTCGCCGCGCTGGCGCTTGTTGTAACTTTGTCAGATTGTTTCATTTAAAACATGGGAAACATTTTCTGAGTGAAATAATCTGCCAATGTAACTAGAACTTTCAATATTAAAGGATCATTGACCCAAAATAAACTCCTATTTCTTAGTTAGTTTTGCTTTATTTCAAGTATACTAAGATGTTTAGTATAGCACTAGACATTAAAACAGAATTACATGGTGAGATTTTGTGTTTTTGCAGTGTACTTCTTAAATTTAAACCACATTGAACATCTTTTCACGTTGATTGTTTTTGTGATTTTGTGTTAATTTAGAAATATTTGTAAGAAATCTACAGCTGTCCATGTAATCTTAGCAATCATTTATATTAAACATAGTGCAATTAAACCACTTACAGTATTTGCAGAAAATTCAGGAGCTGAAATGTTTCATGTCAACAATACATTTCGTATGCATGTTGTGTGTTGTCTGTGATGAACAAAATGCTAATGCTAACCCGGTTGAAACTCCAACTCCTGTGGAGCTTGTGGCCATGTTTTAGCAGGATTCCCGTCAGCTTGCCCGCTGATAACCGCCTCTGACTTTTTTTATCTTTCAGAGGTTTCAGGCAGCTTTGAGCCGACAACATCCATCACGTATATCGTAAAGGAGCCATATGAGGCGAGCAAGAACAGCAGCTCTCTGCACTCATCCATCTACTCTGATATCACACTGAGAGGAGAAGACGTCTCCCTGAGCTTTAGGACCAGTCAAAGCCCTGCGCCGCTGCTCTATGTCAGCTCTTTTTACGGGCAGTACTTGATCCTGCTCATCAATAAACATGGTGAGGACTTTTGTCAGACAAAGATTTTCTGTAACCTATAGCCCTTTTGTTCCTTCAACTGCTTTTCTGTTTTATGGATTTGCTCTCTCACACTTTACTAGTTTGTCTAAAGCTATTTCAACTCGCGTTCATCAGTTCAGAAAGGTTTAAGAATGTATCTCTTACTGATAGTTATGTAAAGGAAGATTACGGCCAGTGAAAAAAAAACTTTTTTTTTCCTCACAATTTTATCTAAAGTCAGAATTTTGAGGGGGGAAAAAATCTCAGAATTTTCTGAAAAATAGTCAGTATTCTTATATTAAAGTTTGAATTATGACATTCACATCACAAATTTGAGAACAAAAGCCAGAATTTTGAGAAAAACCTCAGAGTTCTGATATTAAAGTCAGAATTTTGAGATTGAATTAAAGTTTTTATGAAAAAAGAAGTCAGAATTTTGAGGTGTTTTGAGTTAATTAATTGATTACTTGGTTTTCATGTTTAACTTTTTCACAATTTTCAAATTTTCCAAGATCCTAAATTTAAAGTTTTCTTAATCTTCATAATTGCAGCACATATAGATTTTAAATATTTCACTCTGGATTTAATGAAACTTTGAGTTTCACATTCTGACCAAAATACTGAACTTTTTTGTAAATATTAACCTTATTTCAGATGTGCCTGCATAGTTATAGTTCCTTTTTCAGGATAGAAAATGTACATTTAAAACACTTTTGTCTGTTGTCATTTTTATTTTGTGCATTTTATTTTTGTGCGTCTCCATCGACCTTTTGTTTATTTGTTTGTTTGTTTTTTGTAGATGAATTAGAAGTGAGGTACAAGTTGCAAAGCAACAGAGACGAGGAAGTGTTGAGCAGCCGAGTCATGAACTTAGCTGACGGCCGTCTGCACACTGTGACCATCAGGCGACAGGCAGACGACACTGTGGCAATGCAGGTGAATACACACACACACACACACACACACACACACACACACACACACTCACACACTGTGGCAATGCAGGTAAAGACACACACACACACACACACACACACTCACACACACACACTGTGGCAATGCAGGTAAAGACACACACACACACACACACACACACACACACACACACACTGTGGCAATGCAGGTAAAGACACACACACACACACACTCACACACACACACTGTGGCAATGCAGGTAAAGACACACACACACACACACACACACACACTGTGGCAATGCAGGTAAATACACACACACACACACACACACACACACTGTGGCAATGCAGGTAAAGACACACACACACACACATTCACACACACACACACACACACATTCACACACACACACACACACACACGCATTCACACACACACACACACACGCATTCACACACTCACACACACACACATTCACACACTCACACACACACACACACACGCATTCACACACACACACACACACACACACATTCACACACACACACACACACACACGCATTCACACACTCACACACACACACATTCACACACACACACACACACACATTCACACACACACACACACACACACATTCACACACACACACACACACACACATTCACACACTCACACACACACACACACACATTCACACACACAACACACACACACGCATTCACACTCACACACACACACATTCACACACACACACACACACACATTCACACACACACACACACACACACACACACACACATTCACACACACACACACACACACATTCTCACACACACACACACACACACACACACACACACACACACACACACACACACACCTTCCCATCTACCTGACAGCTCAGAGCTGTTTTTAGATTCGTTGACAAGCTGAGCTGTTGTTGACAAAGATTTCCTTTAATATTTCAAAATGTATTTATATTAATACCAAACTAATCAATATTACAGGTTGACTTCATGCAGAAGAAGTGTTGTGTTTTATTTGATGAATGTGTGTTTACGTCTCGTCTTAATTTAATGCACACAGAAAATTAGAGGCACAAAATAAAATAAAGATGCTAATCATTTAATTTAGCTGCTATTCCATCGATTGATTGCAGAATGTACCAGAGATGCACAGACCCAGTATCAATATCTGTATTGGCTCCCATATTAGAATTCTAGATTGGGTATCTGTGGCAATGTGGGGCAATTAATCAATCAATCACATGATAAATTAAAACGAGTTCAATAATTTCCGTTCTAATGATTTGATATTTTTTGAAGTGCAGTTTTGTTTACAAGATTCCATTTTATTTGTCGTTTTGATTGTTTTTGTTTGTACTTCATTTTTATTTTTTTTTTAGAAACAATTTATAGTCAAATTTATTGTGATAGGCCTATTTGCAAATATTAAAATCTTAATAAAATCAATTAGTGTCTTGTTGTACCGACACAAACTAAAAAAACAGTCATGATAAAGTCGTAACACTTGCAAAGTTTTTCAATTTCTGTCTTCATTTAATCCTTCTTAATGGATAATACAGAATCTTTTCTGAGCAGGTCGTTATTGCTTTTAGATTTTGTTTCTAATCAATAATCTTTCAGATCGACCAGAATGCCAGAGAGGAGTTCAACGTGACGGTGGCTGACGTGGAGTTTAACGTTAAATCAATCATTCTGGGGAGAGTTCCAGGTAAATAAAGTTCTGTTTTTATCCCGTTCAGAACCAAACAGTAAAACGTTATCAGGGTTTCAGTTGTTGAAGTGACCGAAACACCAGGAAACGTTCAGAGGATTGGAGTCAACAGAAAATCTCAGCTCAAAGTGTTCAGTTTCACTTTCAGCTTCATTTCTGCCAAAGTGAATGACCTGATTGGCTTAACGATCGTTAAGCAGAATCATCTGAAACTGTCCAAAAAACTAACCTGAAGGGGAAAAGGTACCGCTCAGAAGTCTGACTTCATTCTCCTAAGATTAAAGGTCAGGATTCAGAGGACAAAAGTAAAGATTCTGATAAGAAAAAAAGTCAGAATGACATTAAAATCTGAATTTTTTGGAGAAAATTAAAAATTCTGAGAAAAAGTACAAATTAAAAAACGTAAAATTTCTTAAATTAGTCATAATTCTGAAAGAAGATAAAATTTTGAGAAAAAAGTGTGATGTGGAAGAAAAAATTTAAATTCCTGAGAGCATTTTTTTAAAAAGATTTTTTAGATATAGATATTTTTAGATTAAATTCAAAATTTGAGAAAAAGTTTTGAAGATTAATTTAAAAATTTTTTTACTGATCTTAATCTTGGTCTGTATTTACGTGATTGTTTTCCATATTTTTTCTGCTATAATATTTGACTAGATTCAAATATGGAGATTCAAGCACCAAATTTGGCTCAGATGGTCCTTAGACGTCCCTCTTTTGAAAAACCTCTTAAAATTCAAGATGGCCGCCATATCAGGGGCTGACCTGATATTACATCTTGCCATAAATACAGACAGACCTCCACAGTGCAGTTGATTCTGGCATCAAACTGTATATTTTTGACCATGTAGAAATCAAATCTGTGATCCTAAACTCTCTCAGAAACTTAATTTTACCTTATTTTGATTTATTTCAGCTTTCTGCTCCACTGAACGACAAAAGGATATTTCCACCATTTATTATAGAGCAAATTGGAGCAACAACTAAACTAGAAATATTGAAAGTAAACAGAAATAAATATGACTTTATAACACGAAACCTGATAAATCATCTCTGCAGGAGCTGCTAAAAGCAATAAAAGCCACAGATTGGATGTGTAGGATTACTTCCTGTCACTCATCTGCAATTTAAAACCCTAAACCTGATTAAGCAAGCAGCTGATAAAATGCTGGCTCCAGCCAGGTTATGCTGCCGTGTCATATTTATGTATGGAATATTTTTCCCCCTCTGGTTATAAGTTAGCTTTCTGGCAGCGTTGTGCTGCGTAATCAGGCACCTCAGCAGCAATAAACGTGTTTTATTCTGATATTTTTATCTGCAGAAGCTGCTGGAGTTAAAGTTCAGAACCTGATTTTCTAATTCAAAATTTAACATTCTGTTACCAGATACATATTTCAATTTGTTTATCTGATTATTTTTAACTAAATTAAACTTGGTGACATTTTTATCTCCTTCACTTAAATCCACAAACTTCTTTTTCCCCCACAGCAGCAGAAAAGACGTTTTCTTCATCTGATTAATGTGCAGAGCTTAGTTCATCATCGTGATTTCACTATTCATTTTGTGTTTCCTAAAGTATTAATATTACAGATGAGACATGTTGTCACCTTTCAGTATTTATGGCCGAGCCGCTCTGCAATAAAGCATAACCTGGCTTCTGCTGTTTAGCCTGGTGAATAATGACTCCACTGTTTAACAATCGAAGCAGTTTTACAACTTTTGACAGAAAATCAGTCAAAAGATTAATGGATCGGCCGCCGCGCCTAGATTTAACTTTTTTATTGTCTTAATACACCAGATCTACTTTTTTAATTGAAAATGAGTAACTTTTCATCAGCGAATTGCTGAAATTATTAATTAATTTCCCCCAGGACTTTGTACATAGTTGCAGATTTTGTCAAAAAAAAAAAAAAGATTTTTCTGGCCATTTCAGTAAAATCAGTAAAAATGTTCTCACACTGCAAAAACACAAAATCTTAACAAGAATTTTTATTCTAGTTTCTAGTGCAGATATGTTAAAATGTTTGAAATAAGACAAAATTAACTGAAAAATAACTTTTTACCAAGATGAAGAGGCTTGTTTTAAATAAATAATTCATTAATATCAAGTCAATTGAAGTTTGAGTTCAACTAAAATGTCTTTAGAAAGACAGCTAAAAAAAGAAAAAAAATCCACCAACAGACATTTTCTAGAAAAAATGTCTGAGTTTGAAAAGTCAAACATTTGTTTAAAAAAATGTTTAGATTATTTTCAGAAACTTGAGGGAAAAAACCATGAAAATTTAGAGTTTGAAAATTTGCTAGAAAAAAAGCAAGAATTTTGGGATTATTCTCAGAATTTTTCTAGAAAAAACTTGGGAACTTTTGAGTTTGAAAAGTTTAAAATTTTCTAGAAAATCTGAAATTTCAGAATTTTTAAATTCTGACGTTTTCTTGTTTTTTGGTGAATTTACTCCATTGTTTGTTCACATTTACTGTTGATAAATTCTGTAGCAAAAATTAAAATTTTCCCGTCAATGTGGTGCTGGATGTTTTATTTTATTGCTATTTTGTTGGCTATAACATAATTATTGTCGCCAAACATTCTATTTTGTTTCTGTTTGTTTTGTTTTACACCATCTGGTAATAAAAGCTTATTGTTGAGGCCATTTGTTCACGATTAGCTCATGAGAACAAACAGTGAGCTGTGTTGTTCCTGTATTTTAATGCTATTATTGGTTTTTGTTCAGAGTCTGAAGGCCTGAGCGCGGATCTCGCCGGCTTGGCGTCCGCCGGCTTCACCGGTTGTCTGTCGGCCGTTCGCTTCGGCTCCATCTGCCCTCTGAAAGCTGCTCTGCTGCGACCCGACGGCCGCGTTTCTGTCGCCGGCGCCGTCGTCGGGTCGAGCTGCGCCGCGCCGGCTCAGGCCGATTCCTACGCAGCAGAAACGACACATTCGCTGTCAGGTAAAAACACAACGACCGCAGCGTTTCCTGGTCTACTGTGTTTTTAAAATTATACTTATGGAGATTTTATTTTTCATGGCTCATTAAGCATTCATCTCAGTAAGCAGGCAGACAGTCGGCACAGCCGCAGACGAGTCATCAAGCAGCTCTGGGAAATCGCTTCAGCCTTTTGGAAATAATACTTTCACTCCTTCGGTTTTAAAGCTGATTCACATTCAGGCTGCTTTCACACGCGCCATGTTTAATCTAAAGTAATCAAACTCCAGTTTATTTTGGGTCAGTTGTTGAGGTGTGAAAGTGAAATTAATCCCAAAAAAAATACAAATGAACACAGTCATCAGCATAAAAGAATATCAAAATCCCAAAAATAAACAAGATGAATGTAATTTTCAGGCTTGTTCACTGCAAAAACACCAAATCTTACCAAGTTAATCTGGTCTAGTTTCTCATGCAAATATCGTTTGAAATGAGACAAAACAAAGCTTGTTTTAAATCAATGATTCCTTAATATTGTTTTTTGAAGTACTAGTTCCACTTCCAGCTCGTTTCACTTGTAGCAACATATTTCTCCCACTTTACAAATCAAAAATGTATAAATCTTTATTTATTGGGAATATTCCAGATACAAGAAAAAAGAGGTGTAAATTTCTGCCCAGAAATATTTTCTAGAAAAAGCATTAAAAAAAAAATCTGAGCTTGAAAAGTCTGAAATTTGTTAGAAGAAAATTGGATTTTTTTTACTTTGGAAACTCAAAAAATTCCCAAAAGTCAAATTTTTTCAACTTTTAAAACTCAGAAGTTTTCAAGTTTTTTTCTAGACAATTTCTGCGATTAATCTAAAACATTTTTAAATAGGAGTTTTTTTGTTTTTCATCTTTAATGGCTCTAAAATCCGTCACAGAAATAATCCGCCAGTGAAACTAGAACTTTTTTTGTCAACATTAAGAGTTTAAAAAGCTCCCAAATCGTTCTCAGAAGTTATTTGGTAAGATTTTGTGTTTTTAGCAGTGTGCGCTCAGTGTCTTCTTCACTGTCATTTTCTTCAGTGGTTCTTGGTGCAGCGCCCTCCTCAGGCGAGCAGGTGAACAGGTTTTTCAATAGTTTGTAGTTGGTTTCATTTCAGTGTGAAATTGTGTGAAAACACACTAAATCTTTATTTCTTGGTATTTTGATCTCGGATACTTCCCTTCTTCTGTTTTGTTGGCTTCTTAATATTAAGTATTTTCATTTTTTCTGCAGACCGGCCTCACTCTGTGGATCCCGGCCAGCCTTTAGTCAACACCATTCGGAGTGATTCAGCTCTAATTGGAGGTAAAACCGGTCATATCTCTGATGACAACAGTTCGTCTCAAATATTTCTTTGTATTTGAAACATTTTCTGATGCTCCCATCTGAAAAGCTCTTTGTCATGCATGAGCTTCCCTAAAAAACGTCAATTAGAAACCTGATGGTTGGTGAGAAAAGCTGAAATCTGTCTGGGGAAATCAAACTTCTCCACCGCCATTATGTCCACCATTAATGTGATGCTGAGACCTTTTCAAGCCCGAGAGACTAAAAACCCAATTACTTCCACAAATCCTTCTTAATAAATTAGAATACCACCAATAATTCAAATTAATTTAGCAATTAAGTTCTAACAGTGAAACTCTGTCTTACAGACTCATGAGAGAATATGAAATACTATTGGTCACATCTAATCAAAATCAAAATTTATGGTTTAAATATTTTTAAAAAACAATTTAAAACAAAATTTCAAGACAAAAATCTTTTGTTCTACATAAGTAATGTCCAAATTTGTACCCCTGAAAATTTTTTTCTATCAAGTTTTTACTTTTCAAACCAAATTTATTTTTTCTAGAAAAGTTCTGAGCTTAATCACAATTTTAGAGTTTTTACATTTTTATAAATCTATAATACACAGTTATACATACAGAATTACATTTTTCATGACTTCAGCATTTTAATTTTTTTCTAATACAACATTTACATTTTCTGACAATCAAAATTTCTGTTTTCTGGTCATAAAAAATAAAAAAGCACTAAAAATATAAATATTGTTATAATTTATATATGCTTGATTTTCATTCTCTTCTGATTTAAATATTGAAATATTTATATTTTTTTATATGTATTTAGCAACATGAAGATGTTATTGTCTTCATGCCTCTGTGTGTTTTGTGGTTCTCAGGTGTGATCGCAGTCATCATATTTATCGTGGCGTGCGCGGCAGCCATCTTGGCTCGGTTCCTCTGCATCAGGAAGGAGACGTATCGCAACCAGGAAGTGAAAGCGGCGCAGCCCGGTGACGGCCGCGCCTTCCCGTTCGGCGGCCAGCCAGAATCTCCGAGCGTTCAAAGTGAAAACCAGAAGGAGTTTTTCATTTAGCACAAAATAACCCGGAAGGACTGAGCTGGATAAACTACCAAACAGTGCTTTACCCTTTCTTCCCCTTTTGTTTTATTTATTCGTTTACTTTTGTAAATACGGACTGGCAGACATATTGGACTCACTTTAAAGAGTTAAATATTTGAACTTGTACAGTTCGTAGTGATTCGTGTGGTTATTTAGATCCATTTCCAAAGTTTTCTGTCTAATTGGAAGACAACGATAAACATTGCACTGCAAAAACACAAAATCTCATCAAATATCTTTGGTCGAGTTTCTATTTCTGTCTTACACTTGAAATGAGACAAAACATATAAGTAACTTTTTAGCAAGATGCAGAGGCTTTTTTAAAGTAAATAATTCCTTAATATTGAAGAGAAAAGCTCTAGATTGTTTCACTTATGTCACAACTGACACTTAAAATTAGCTTTTTATTTTGATTTAGGTCAATAATTCCTTCATACTGATGAAAAATATCGAGTTCATTGGAAGATTATTTCTCTTATAATGCAAAAAAAATTTCTTTTTACAAGTGAAATTATCCACCTAAAAAGAATCAGTAAGTAAACTACTAAAAGTCACACAAACAAAAACATGAAATTTTGCGACTTAAAAGTTCAGATTATTTCACTTGTAACAAGATATTTTTTCTATGTTCTAAGTTGATTTATCTGCTAATAGAACTAGAACGTTTTCAACAATATTAAGGAGTTATTGACTTAAATCAAGCCTCTTTCTGAAAGGTTACTTTTACGTTTGTCTTATTTAAATGTGCGTGAATCTAGACCAGACTTACTTGGTAAGATTTAGTGTTTTTGCAGTGAAAACTTTAGAGCTGGGGGAGATTTGTGAAAAGTTTTTTTCTAAGACGAGTTTGGTAAATTTGAGACGCCAAAAAAGCTGTGGAGATGAAAGTACGGATTATCCCAGGTTTACATGGAACAACCCAGCCAAAGCACATTCTCAGAATCAAATAAAATCCATCTGTTGCAGGTAAGAATTGTTCCAAAATGTGCTGCATATATGAATACCAAATTAAAGTCAGTCTAAAACTTTATCGTTGAGTTGCTTGGAAAGCTTCTCTTTGCTTTTCTCTCTACTTTGTGATGAAAAACTGAAGGAATGTGTTTTTTCAGCTTTGGGTTTTAATGCACCACCTGCAGCGATCAGCCAACATCAGAAGCAGCTTGAAGCAGCATGGACCATAAAACATAACTCTCTCTCACCTTTTTCACTTTGTAGACACTTCTTCATGGTTTCTGCTGACGTCCCGATCCGTCTCTCCTAATGCAGGATTTGAGACACTCCAGCTAACTTTTAGAGTCCATATTGTGCAAAGCTCACAAATGGAGCGAGGGATTTTCATGACTTGAGCTTATAAAGCGTTTTTATTTTATTTGTATTCTCTGTTCTCTTTTAAAAGAAATGACCTACCACTTCAACTCCAACAATCCTCTGTCTTGTTTAGCAGTTTTTCTTCTTGTAAAGTAACAAACAATAAAAGAAAAATGCTCTGGAAGACACCGAGAGGTAATTCTTCCATCCTTCATAATTCAAGGTTATTCTGCAAAGTGATCAGATCCATATTAACTTTATAGAGTTAAGGTACAATTATTGAAGTAATGACGACAACAACTTTTGGGTTACCTGGAAAATTACAGGTTGATGGTTTGAGATGCAGTTAAAATGTCAGGAAATGTTGAAACTTTGACAGTGCAGTCAGTATTTAAACACAAATAATTACACAATTTATTTTAGAAAAAATGCTAAATGCATTAGCATTTTAGTTCCATCGGGGTTGCTAGGTGATGGGTGGAGTTCCGTCGGGGTTGCTAGGTGATGGGTGGAGTTCCGTCGGGGTTGCTAGGTGATGGGTGGAGTTCCGTCGGGGTTGCTAGGTGATGGGTGGAGTTCCGTCGGGGTTGCTAGGTGATGGGTGGAGTTCCGTCGGGGTTGCTAGGTAACGGCTAATTCCAGAGGTTTTTGTAGTTGCTCAAAATAACAAAGAAAAAAACATTTACCTTATAGCCAGAAAGCAACTGGGTGTTTTTATTTTTCTCAAGCACTTGAACTGTTTGTAGATGAAAGTGGAAATACAAAGGTGTTAAAAATGTACATTTTGCATTTCTGGTCCCCTTTAGACGACAGGTTTTTCTTGTGAGAGCGACTTCACACCCAGGAGTCCCGTAAGACGTCGTGTCAAAGTAAATCAGTATGAAATGGGTCATGACATCTGCCAGGAGCTTCGCTTCCTCTTCCTGCCGTCTGCAGCTAAACCCGGGTTCATGTTGGACTCTCAGGGCTCCTGAAAGACGGTCCTGTTGAGACGTGGCGTGTTTTGTCTCCCGTTGTTTCCTGTGTCTCCTGTCATCAGCGTGCAGCCGCTCTCCCTGCAGGCCTCATCAGAGGCAGCAGATCGCTGTGATCTCAGGGTCTCCAGGTATTTCAGCTCCAAACGCAACAGTAAAATAACCAGAGGGGGATTTTTACAGGAACATCAAGACGAGTTATTTTTTAAACAAGCTATAATTATTTCCAAATTTATTTGGAAGTGTTTCTTTAAGTTTACACTGTATTCTACTAATTTCTAAAATGCAACCTTCACAAACTTGACCAAAATTTGTTGTTTCTAACTTCATTTTCAAAAAGGAAAAACATCTGAAAAACTAGTTATCATTGAAATATTTGTCTTTTTTTTCTTAGTTTGTAACCCTGACTTATTTATTGAAAGAAATTAATAATTTTGTGGGAAATTTAGACAAACTGGTTCATGTCTCATTGAAAGTGTTTTTGTTTTCACTTGCAGAATAAATGAAATGATTAAATTCTTCTCATCTGAGGTCAGATAAACAGAGACCATCACTTTGCTTTCGGTTGAAAATATTGAAAATCTGTTTTTCCTATTTATTTTGTTTTGTTTTGGTTCAGTTTCATTCAAAACCTTCCAATCAGATTTCCTGATCACTCACATTTTGCCCAGCCGTCATGTTTTAACTATTCCACATCGATATTACAGCTTATGATGTGATGTAAGCCGTATCTCAGCATCAGGTGTCCACTTCTTGCATCATGTAATATATGAGCAAATGCATAGCAGCTCAATGGAGTGATAATTAAATTAATGCCTACTTAAGGTTGGTGTCAAGTGTGCTGAATAAATGTGCTAAATGTTCTCCATGCTGTGCGAATGGAGCTGATTAAAGCCTATTCATGCAAATGAAAAAGCAGCCATGAGTGATAAAGAAGAGGCGTTTCTGCTGCACGGTGAAGGTGGGCAGGATAATTATGAGAAACCGAATCCTGATTAGTGATCTGATGAGACTGCAGCTCTGCGGGCAGCAGTGATGCCGCTGCCTGATTACAAACGACTTTGAAGACCTCTGTTGTCAGATCCTATCCATCATAATTGTTATGGAAAATTAGTCTGCAAGAGAACTTTGGCTCTTTCTGCTCCGTGTTCACAAAACAGTCGGTTTGTTTACAAGCCTCTGGTTTTTTTTTCTTGTTTGTTGTTTTTGTTCTGCAAGGTTTTTTGTCTTTAGTAAAACCAATTGTTATTTTCCATCCTTCATATTTCTGCATTAACATGTATTCGTTTGTCACACTGAATTCATATCTATTGCAACAGAAAGTTTAAGTTCTATTAGTTTACAATTTATAATCAATCTCTGGCTTTTACAAAGCATTTTTTAATGTAGTAAAAGGAAACCTATCATGAAAAATTCACATTTTGAATATTTTATAAGCCTGTTGCCTAGCAACCCCAGTGGAGCCCAGCCCGTTGCCTAGCAACCCAAGCTGAGTTCCTCCATATTTGGTCATCTGGTTTGTCGCTGTAGAAATGTTTTGTTGTTGACTTTCCATCCATGTTGATTGTGCAGGAGGCTCCACTTCTGCTTCTTAAGGTCGTGCGGTTGTATAATTGCGCGTCGGTTTGGAGCCATTTTTACGTTGAGTTTGGGTTCGTGGCCAGAAGATTTAAAGTGACGACACGTTTAAAATCTAAGAATAAATTTATGCAAAAAAATGTAACAAACATGTTTTGTTTAGCGCTGAGATTTATCCGAACCTGTTCAAGGAAGTAAAATAAAACGTTATTTTAAATCAATTCTAATAACTCAAAACCAGAGTGTTTATATCTCTAAAACTGTTCTTATCTAAAAGACGCCTTTGGCTGTCATTTTATTACTGACTGATGTAAATGTTGTAGCTTTGCCTCAAACCTGCTGAGATTGATTGTTTTCCAATAATTATCATGCGAAACTCCTTCTGCCTTGCAGCGTACATTCTCCCCTAAACTATTTATTCAAGGCATGTGAAATTCCATCATTTTCTTGTGAACAGAAAAGCTAATCAGCTCTGATTACATCTTCAGCTGCATTGTGCATACTAAGCTACATGTCAGTGATCAGGTGCATGCATAGCTTCAAAACAGCTCATGTTTTATTAACATCCTGCATTAAAACAGATAAAAATCATATTTCACCTCCAGGTTCAAGAGTTTCAATGGAAACTTGATGCAGCTTACAGAGAAACTGCATAAAACCAATAAAAGAAATGGTTTAATAAGTGCACTTTAGTATCAGAGTGAATCACTTCTGCACAGCAAACTTTCATATTATAGCAATAATAAATAATAACCAATAAAATACAATAAGATGCTCATTATTTGCCATCTGTACAACTAATTAAATCCTGTCTTCAAAAAACATGTAAATCACCGTAAATGTACAAAAACACAGACAATATTCCACATTGTCTTCATTCATCATAAAAAATAAAACTAAAGAGAATAAAATGTTTAAGAACTGAATGCAACCTCCCATTAGATTTCTGCTCATCAAGGACAGCAAACAGGTTCACGCTGCTCAGAAACGCAGGAAATTCACACTTCATCTGAAGTTTTCTCTTTTCCAACAGCTATTTAAGTAAAATTAATCAAATTCACAAACAATCGTGTAATTTTTGCTCAATCTGAAACATTTTGTATTCAGCGGATGCAGAAAAAATGGAAAAACTGCTGAACATTAATCACTAACCTGTTAATACTCTGAACTACAAGATAAGTAAATAAATGACATCTATAAAAACATACTGTAAAGAATAAACGTTATATATAAAAAAATACATTTAAAACAAGATGAACAGTAAAGTTTTGTTAAACTTGAAATAAGACGAAACTAACTTACAAGTAACGTTTCATCAAGATGTTCGTTTTAAATCCATAATTCCTTAATATTGATTTTAGAAAGCAACCCAGTTCTGGACCCGCTGGCAGATTATTTCACTTTTAAAGCAGGAAAAAGTTTCACGATTAAACAATAATTTCATCAAGGAATTATTTAGTTCAAACAAACTTTTCAGTTAATTTCGTTTTATTTCAATTGTCCTGAGATATTCGGACCAAAACAGAGTTTGTGTTTTTGCAGTGTGATATTATTTTGTCTCCTTGTGAGAATTTAATATTTGTTGTCAGTTTTCTGAGTCTTCATCATGAACTCTGCCTCTTTAGCGCCACAAATAGATCCACAAAAAAAAAAAGATCCATTTGGTTTGTTCTGCCAGGTCCCTCATCCAGCTGGACTCCACACATTGATCACAGCTCCACTGATTATATCTTCAGATGCATTATGCAGAAGAAGCTCCATATATAAAAGTGATTTGGCGGACACAAATCTGCACAGCGCTCATGTTTTATTGATGTTGTGCATGCAGATGGCGTTCAGCCCTGAGGCCGACCGCTCCCCACCGCAGCTCATCTCTCCGAGTGTCACCAGGACCTCAGACTCACCTCTTCAGTCTCAACTCGTTTTGACAAATAATAGAAGCTGGATTGGCCGTAGCAACACGCGCTGCATGTGTGAGAGCGCCAAGCTGCTGTTCTGCAGCTTGTGCTAAAACAGAAACGCTGCGTTTGAAGGAATTTTAAATCCGTTTGCCTTTTACATAATGTAAAAATAGAATCAAATCTGTTGCAATAAACAATAAATCAATTAATCGCATGATGAATTGAAACTATTCCACTTGCATAATTTATTGTTTTTCTTTGTTTCTACCAAAAACTGAATGGTAAAATCTTCAGTCTGGTTCTTTAGTTTCAACTAAATCTTATTTTGATTATAGTGACTTCATAATTTGTTGTTTTGTTTTGTTTATTTAAAATGTCTTCCAGTTCCAACGTGAAATGTTCAATTTAATGTTAAAGTTAATTGATGTTTTAGAAGGATTTTGAAACGGCTCTTTTTCCAAACACCAAGGAACATTAATTTATTGCCAAAAAGAGAATTTGGGCTGTTTTGTAGAAGGAGTGGAAACCAAAATGGAAGTGTAAAAATGTGCAAAAGTGAATTTTCCATAATGTTCCCTTTGGTTTGTTGATTCGATTCGATTCGGCTTCTGGGTTCAACAACATGAGTCAATCGTCCGTCTGTCTGGCTTTCTCTGCTGCCTCATTATGACAAAGTCAGGTTTGTTTTGTTTTTGCTCCGCATCCTTGAGGGAGCATTATGAAAAGTAGATTCTGTTATTTTTACAAAAACATGTTTACATTTGTCAGGGATGTAATGCTGAGAACCAGCTGGAAACAAACACCAATGACTCAGAGAGTCTGAAATATTCTGTCCAGATACAAACAGCACAAGGTTACATTCAGTGTTTTAACCCGATACGTACATTAAAGGTGAGATTTTCAGCATTTCTGAACGGTACAAAGTTAAAAAACACTTTCATATTTTCATGGCATTATATTAAAAGTCAACAGTAACATTGATTATCTGAGAATATTTCCCAAAGCTATTGGCAATAACAGTGATGTAATGTAATAACCGAGAGCCTCAACATGTTTTCTGACATTCAGCAAGAAGAAAAAACAAAACTTGCAATCAAAACTTCATTTAAAACCAGCTGATGATAAAGTTTATAGGAAAACCATGAGAAAGTGTCAGGCTAAAGGAACCGAGACGGATGAACCCAAATGGAGCCAAACTGAAAACACTAATACTAGGAATAATAAGAATAAATAAAGAAATGAACTGTTATAGAAAGACGAAACATAAAGGATCAAGATGTCTTTGCATAGTCAGGCTGTGGAGTGAGAAAAAAATCTCTGCCAAACAATTTGAGATCCATCTCAGTAATTTTCTAGAAAAAAAACTGAAACATTTTTGAGGTTGGAAAGTTGAAAAAAACTCTGAAATTTTAGATTATCTCAGAAATATTCTATAAAAACTGTCCGATTTTGACAAGTCAAACATTTTGTAAAAAAAAATCTGAAATTTCTTGATTACAAATGTCAGACACTTTTGAGATTTGAAATTAAGAACATTTTTGAAAATAAAAAAAAATTCAAACTTTTTGTTCCAACTTTTTTTTGGAATTAATCCAATTTCTGAAAATCAAATTCTTGACTTTTCATACTCAGAAATTTTCAAGTTTTTTTCTGAAAATTTAATGAGACATTTTTAAAAATCTCATCAAAATTTCTGAGTTTTACTGAAAAAATCTTTTATTCAATGTTTTCTTCCCTGTACAACGTAGTTTAGCCACAACTGCACAAAATGTAAGAAGTTACTTTAGGTTTAACTTCAACAGCTTTTATGTTTCAGGAATTGATTAATTGGTTTGTATAGATTTAAATAAACGTAATTTTCTGCTTGCTGACCGGAGCTACAGCTGTAATGACTGTTTTTCTACTACATTTTCTCATTGTTTTTGCACCTGGACTCGCCTCGCCTGGCGTCTCGTCTGCAGAACCTCTCCTCTGGTGGAGCTCAGTGGGAAAAGGTCACAGGAGAAGTTCTGCTTCAAAGCTCTTATTTAAGCCTAATGATGCAGATTTTCTCATCTAATTGCTGAAAGTCTGGAGTGGAATAGTTTGGATCACCAGTGACTTTAAAGCAATCAGCATATCAATGCATTTCTGTTACAAATGTGCAAAAAACTTTGTCAATATTCAGCTGATGCCAAAAAAACACAATTTAGCAATTGTGGTGTTTCTCTTAAATACGAAACTTAATTAAAATCACACATGAATAAAGTCATTATCAGATCCTCCGACCACTTCCTGACATCGTCTTCTTTGTCGTTTCCGGCAGTAGCAACATCCGGCTGTTGATCATGTGATTCCCACTAAGCAAAAAGTTGTTTCAGTGGAATAAAAACTACCTTATTCTAACGCCAAAACTATTTATTGGAAATAGAGAGGTTGTTTTTTTTTTCAATTTGCCGTGATTCCATTAAGTGAATTATTTTTTTAAATGTTAGATGCTTTTTTTACAAAACATTTTTTTAATATTTATCACCCTTTTTCATATTACAACCACAAAATAAAATCTATTTATGAAAAATTCTAACCTTTTGATTTGAGCAAATTTATGAA